TGCCACAAAAAAAACAATATGTAAATGCAGGAGTGGAGGACATGATATCATTATCATAAAAAAAAAATCCACCATGATAAGCTTTTCTGGGTATCATTAGCACAGGGGAAGTTTCTGCATAATACAGTCTTTCAGATGTAAGCAATGTCAGAGTGGTTTGGTGTTAAATGGTTGATTGTAGAGACTCAGATTTCTTTACAGTGGTGGTGATAGGAACCAGGGGCCACAATGTCTACAACACAAATATAGACGTTTTATTTACTATCCAAAACAACTAGTGACCTACACATGCCTTCTGCTTATATATATATAAGCAGATATATATGCCTTCTGCTTATATATATAAGCATATATATATATATATATATATATATATATATATATACAGATAATGCTCAAATTGTAGTGAATTTGAGTAAATCTACAGTAAATTGCTCTACTCTGCCTCAAATAAAACTATCGTTCTGGAAACTCTCATAAAACAATGTCTCAGGCATTAGGCCACATATGTATAACCATGTCATGGTAGTTTTCTGTTACATAGCATTTAGAGTCATTAGGTCGTGTGGTTCCTGTCACCACCACTGTGAGCAGTCCTGAAACATCTGAAAAATCCATGGAATTCTGGTTCAAAAAGTGATGACCAACTGTATGTTTCATGATTTAGTTGTTGTTCTAACTGCATTTTATTAACAACATATGAAAAACTAAGAGGTTCTTGTGTTATACTTGATTTATGTTTGTGTATTTATTCTAATGATGTGTTGTATTTTTTCTGGCAAAGCACACTTACTGCCAAGATAAATAGTTTCAAACAATTTTCATAGCTGCCTAAGACTTTCGCAGGTTAACTTTAATTTTTAAGACGTGAGACTTGAAGAGATAAATAAGAGTGTAGGGCTTTATGATGCTCTTTGGATTGGACAACAAAGCTGTCTAAGACTTTTGCACAGTATATTCACTCTTCTTGATTAATAAGAAGATGAAGCAGATGAAGAGCATAGAGACAAACAACTCCAGCGACAAACGTAAGATATTTTTCTGCAAAGTTTACTGCACACTTTTGCACAGGCCATATTTTAAGTTTTATTTTTTCCCAATCTGTGAAATTCAGCAAATAAACCGTAATAGTGCATTATAATGTGCAGAAGTATGTTCACTGTAGTGAATGTGTTAACTCATTTTACTATCCATTCAAATACCATGATATAAAACACCATGATATAAAAATACCACAATACAGATTTTTTTTAATTCTGAAAGCGCATCAGAGTTGCTGGGGCCTATTTGTAGCTGCTAAGCTCTGATTGGACATTCATTATTGGATATTCAAGAAAGGGCTTTAGTGAAAGGTGCACTATGATTGGTTTGATTTATATGTTATACATGAAAGTGCATCAAAACACGTTTTCTTTACTGTGCCTTTAAGACCGACATATACAAATGAGTTCTCATTCAAAAAGCAATCAGGGCTAAAACACTCATAACTTCATGTGAATAGACGGGGCTCAATTTCTGCAAGATGATAGTATATGTAAGTGATAGATTTTTGTGACATGACAAAAGTGATTAATTCAAAAACAGGCTGTTTTTGCATCACAGTGAACGGTAAACAGTGCGTTTTGAAATTTGTTTATATACTAAAGCAAACTCTTTTATTTAAAAAAAGGATGTGGGCCCTTCATTGTGAAATGTACCAGAATGAAAGTAAAAGTCTCCATGACTCTCCATGATAACACCTGTACTGCTTTGAGATTGGGCTCACCTCTCACTTTTGAGGTTTGACATTTTATTTTAGACTTAAATAATCCCAAAAAAGTGAAGATAAGAGTCTCACAAACTTTAGTTCCTGTTGAAGCCCATTTCCACCACTTAAAATAATAAAGGCGGATGTTATTTCCCCTAAGTGTAAATACATTGGTGTTGCTCAGTATACTTAGTGTGAACAGCACAATTTTACTATTTACACTTAGTGTTCAAAGCAACATCAAGCTATTTACACTTACAGAATTATTTGCTATTTTATTCCTTTTTCTTGACACTGATTCAGCAGTATTACTCTATATTTCAGCAATTAAATGATTCTGCTTTTCTTCTAAGCTGTACTTGAGGTCATTCTTATCAACACCTCTCTTTCTCGGGGTTACTGTCCCTCTCTGATTTGTTATGGCTAGCGCTTGCATCTACACTTGTTAATATCTGTATATGTGCATGTTTTTAAATCTAATTTGTCCATATGATTATTAAAAGTACTTTTTTATTTATTGCAGCAACTTAAGTTTACCTGAATGTGTAATTAAATGTTTTTGCTTTATTTAAGACAAGAATAATGGACAGTACATGATGATTAAGAAACATGACTAGTACACACTGTCCCAGCCAGCATCATCCAATTGTCCTCGATGATGTTACAGCTTAGCAACTGTTGGTTGCTAGATTGATATTGTATATATTTATTTATTTAATACTGATTGAGCAGTGAGTGGAAAGTTGACTTATTTGTTTTGATTAATACTAAATAACTTTACTCTCCAGTTCTGCCTTGAACACAGCTTTTTCCAATGCTGTCTCATTTTTGCTCGTGTATACAATATAAAAACTGCAGAAAAAGTAAGCGTTTTTGTGTTTTGTGTGCTAAAGTCACATGGTTTACCAGCTGAAGTGAGTGCAAATAGCCAGGCTGTGTGGTTAATGCTATTTATGCTTAATATAAGTAAACACTGCCAATAAAAAAATCCAGCACCTAATTCTTATTTTTTCCTTATTAAGTGAATCACTTTCACTACTATTTTCAATACTAAGTCATTATTTTGAAAGGCTAAGTCATTATTTTGAGATAATATTTCATTATTCTGAGATGCTTAGCAATTATTTTAATAAATTAATTCATTATTTTGAGATACTATCACATTATTCTGAGACACTATCTCATTATTCTAAGTCATTATTTTGAGATATTGTCTCATTATTCTGTGATACTATCTCATTATTCTGAGACACTATCACATTATTCGGAGATACTATCTCATTATTCTAAGTCATTATTTTGCAATATTGTCATTATTCTGAGATACTATTATATTATTCAGAGGTACTATCTCATTATTCTAAGTAATTATTTTGAGATACTATCTCATTATTTTAATTCATTATTTTGAGATACTATCTCATTATTCTAAGCCGTTATTCTGAGACACTATCTCATTATTCTAAGTCATTATTCTGAGATATTGTCTCATTATTCTGAGACACTATCTCATTATTTTGAGATACTATCTCATTATTCTGCGATACTATCTCATTATTCTAAGTCATTATTTTGAGATACTACCACATTATTTTGAGATACAATTTCATTATTCTGAGATACTATCACATTATTCGGAGATACTATCTCATTATTCTAAGTCATTATTTTGAGATACTGTCTCATTATTCTGAGATACTATCTCATTCTGAGATACTATCACATTATTCTGAGATACTGTCTCATTATTCTAAGCCATTATTCTGAGACACTATCTCTTTATTCTAAGCCGTCATTATTCTGAGATATTGTCTCATTATTCTGAGACACTATCTCATTATTCTGAGATACTATCTCATTATTCTAAGTCATTATTCTGAGATACTATCTCATTATTCGGAGATACTATCTCATTATTCTAAGTTATTATTTTGAGATACTATCTCATTATTCTGAGACACTATCTCATTATTCTAAGTCATTATTCTGAGATACTATCTCATTATTCTAAGTCATTATTTTGAGATACTACCACATTATTCTGAGATACAATCTCATTATTCTGAGATACTATCACATTATTCGGAGATACTATCTCATTATTCTAAGTCATTATTTTGAGATACTGTCTCATTATTCTGAGATACTATCTCATTATTCTGAGATACTATCACATTATTCTGAGATACTGTCTCATTATTCTAAGCCGTTATTCTGAGACACTATCTCATTATTCTAAACCGTCATTATTCTGAGATATTGTCTCATTATTCTGAGACACTATCTCATTATTCTGAGATACTCTCTCATTATTCTAAGTTATTATTTTGAGATACTTTCTCATTATTCTAAGTCATTATTCCGAAACACTATCTCATTATTCTAAGTCATTATTCTGAGATACTATCACATTATTCAGAGGTACTATCTCATTATTCTAAGTCATTATTTTGAGATATCATCTTATTATTGAGATACTATCTCATTATTCTAAGTCATTATTTTGAGATACTATCACATTATTCTGAGATACTATCTCATTCTGAGATACTATCACATTATTCTAAACTGTTATTCTGAGACACTATCTCATTATTCTGAGATACTATCTCATTATTCTAACTAATTATTCTGAGATACTATTTCATTATTCTGAGATACTATCTCATTATTCTAGGTCATTATTTTGAGATACTATCTTTTTATTTTGAGAAACCATTCTTATTATCAATATTATTCTGAGAATTATTCTTTTCTTATTATTCTGAGATGCTAAGTCATTGTTTTAAAACACTATCTCGTTACTGTGAAATGCTTTCTTGTTAGATAGTATTTCAAAATAATGATTTAGCAAAATAATGTCATAGCAATTCATTAAGGATGAAAAAATATTAACAGATATGTTTAACTGATTTTACTATGTTAATTGACGGGAATGGGCTTCCATAGCTGACAGATGAGAATGTAGTAAGAAGTTCCACAGATGTTCTATAAGTTATTATAGCCTGTTTTTTTCTACTTTTCCCTTCACTGCAGTCAGGCTTTAGTCTCTCTGAGGCTGTACAGCACTGAGCAGAGCAGAAACTCTGTGTGCCCCTCCATTCAGCCACACTGACTGCTGCTCACTTGAAGAAGTGTGCTGTGTGTGTGTGTGTGTGTGTGTGTATGTGTGTGTGTGTGTGGAGCGCGGTGGAGGCTGCTCTTTGGAGGGGGAACTTACCGGAAACCAAACTTTTTTTCTTCACCTCAAACTTGTTTCGTTGCTGTCGAGTCGAAAGAGGAAAGAGGAGCCGAGCAGAGAGGCAGCGCCGTTAACTACATCTCAGCGCAGCAGTTCCTCCTTTCTTCACCTCCGCGTCATGGTGGATTGGAGAAAGTGGTCAGCGAAGAGAGACCAGATTAATCCCTTTTACGCCAGATAAGGTCGTCGAGCGTTTTTCTGCCTCCCAGAACGGATCTTTGAAGGCTTTTATCATGGAAGATGTGAGTATGTTTCCTCAGTTTTGATCTTCCTGCTTCTTCTGCTGCTTCTTCTTATTCTTCTTCGCCTCGTTTCTTAGTACACAAAAGCCGGAGAGCTGAAGAAAAGTCGAATATGCGAGGTTTAGGCCGCTCCCCGTCGCTCTAAAGCAGTAAATAAAGACCTTTTTAGCTAAACAACTCGGGCTGAATCAGCAGCTTGGCCTGAGAAGTCAAGTCTTCACCAGTTGCACATCAATTCATGTCTCCTCAAGAGGCTAACAGGCCTAACAGCAAGTTTACTTCAACAACAAACCACCAGTATTGCAAAGTTATTTCATGTTCAGTAAGTTATTAGGCTCGAAGTCACCGAGCTCAGCACACACAGCTCACAGACTGGAGCATGAAGACATAACCAGCAGTTTAGAAGCTCGTTGGCTTTGACTGCACCTGTTCACCTGCCCACAGCCTTCACAGCATCCAACGCCCCTTTCCTGCCCTGCATCCTGTAGCCTTGGTAACAGCTTGTTTACCCCTTGCATGCTGGTAAATAACCCGAGATTCTACAGAGGAGATTAGAGTAGATACAGAACTGCAAGGAAATGATGACTGAAGTACAAAGTACGTTACTGCAAGGTTTCTTTAGTAATGAACCGTGAGTCGTACATAGAACCATTGCTACGCTCAACTTCTTAATTGGCCACAGGCCCAAAGTTTTATTACACTCTTCTATGACCTAAGAACAGCTCAGGCAAGTTTGCATTAAAGTCCCTGTAGTTACTAAATAATAAGCCTTAGCATGTAATAAATCTGAGATTTTACGGGATTAAATAGTTCTTTGCATGGTGAAATGGTTGATGGAGATTTTGCCGTATATGGTTCTAAATAACACCATTATAACATTAGCTGAATCCTTTTTGGGATTATAGAGCCATTTTCAAAAAGGTTCCATATAGAACCATACATAACACATTCTCCATCAACCATTTCACAATGCAAACAACCATTTAAGCTTACAAATGGATCTGTGTAGAATTTGGGTTTCTAAATAAAACCTTTGCCTTTACTAAAGAACTTGAAGAACTGTCTTTTTTAAGAGGGTAGCTACCGAAATCAACATAGGCAAAATGTTGGTCCAGAACCTCCTCCAGGATGGAATAACTTACAGAACTTCCAGCGTCTGTCAGTATATGAACTGAAGTTTGCGGTCAAAAAAAAAGTTTTGGTCAAAAAAAAATTCCAAAGTAAGAGGTGACCAATCACAAAGCAGTCACGGAACAGAATGAAATTAAACCCAAATAAGGAATTAGACACTAAAGTTTGGAATTTTTCGTATTGTCATCGTGATAAACAGTACGCTTCTCTGAGCGTATTGTAGATACCGGGCATACTTAAATAGATAAATTAATAGATGACTTTCTATCTATCTATCTATCTATCTATCTATCTATCTGTCTATCTGTCTATCTGAAAGAACACTGACCGACTGCATGGGAACATAATCATATTAACTGGGTAAAGTGCGGTGAAGTGCATATAAAATGCTGATGAAATTATTGTTTTTGTGTGTGTATATATATATATATATATATATATATATATATATATATATATAGCTATGATGCTTTTGAACCTCATTATGGAATTTATTTTTTGGCTTTCACAGTTGTTATAGCACCACTGACAGCTCTGTTCATCATCGCACAAAAATTCGGATTCCTGCAAGTGGTTTGCAGCACAGATTATATTAACATCAACTTAGAATCATCCACATATCTGCAATAACGTTGGTTTAATATGATTAAAAAAGCTTTTGATTGGTGGAGTCTTAGTAAAATACTCCAAAAAGTATTCAAAAGTAGCAGCGGCAGGCAGATATTATGATAGGTGCTGATATTAATGATAAATTACGTCACACTGCATCACAATAGGGCCTTCTGAGCAAAGTGTGGAGATCATTAGTACTTAAATGAAACTGACCCACTGTAGGTTTTTACAAAGAGAGAAGAATTAGGCCTGTGTAATTGGATTCAGTGCAGTGTGGGTTGTGTTCATATTTTGACAGTATATTTTAAATGTGTTTTGTCTGTTCCAACTTATCAAACCTCAGAGAAATTTAAATGTCATGAGGTATGAGGTAGTTTGTCATGCTGCCCACCTGTAATATGTAGATACCGCCCACCTTTATGTGTATGAAAAAGGTCAGGGCAGAGTGGTGTAAGCACAGAAGCACGTTGTGTTTTAATAATATATTCATAGCTGGTATTCGTAATGAGTCTGGCCATGTCAGTCATTTGGTGCAGAGCATTAAAAAAAATGCTTCAAACACTGCAAACAAAGTATCAGGCTTTGAAGAGAAAGTTTCAGGAAATATAAAGTTAAAAGAGGAAGTGAGCCTGTAGCAGCAGTATGGCCATTAGCAGCACTGATGACACAGCTTATGCATGCATGCAGTCAGTCGTTAGCATCCGTGTGTAAAGGAACACCAAAATGCAGCTAACATTGCAATATTTGAAGCCATTTTCATGATAATATGTAACACAGTGTTTTATGAGATTTGCAATGAATTGTAACAGACAATGTGTGCCAGTAAAACAGCAGCGCCACATTGAAAAAAGGAAAAGTTTTTGTTTAATTCAGTACAATAACTTTAAGGGTTGCTTTACACAGTAAAGCTTTCGTGCAACTAGTTGCATGGTGTGAGTTGCCTGCAACTTAATTTCGGTGCAACTTGACAGTTACACAAAGCAAATTCAAAAGGAATAAAAGTTGCATGTGACACTCGGTTTCTCTAGTTAGCCAAATTAGCAGTCCCCCATCAAGTGTAATTTACACATTTGCAGCAATTTTTTATCATCTTCATATATTTTTCCAGGTGTCATTGCTGTTCATTTTTTCTTTATGTGTATATCTGTATTTATACGGTTCTTTACTGTATATTTGACTTGTTTTATGTGTTTTGTGCACTTTAAGCATTTGAAAATGAATGTTTGAGTATCCATTACCGTTATAGCCTACCTGATGTCTCACTCATCCTGTCCTGGAAGCATAAGTTAATTGAGGACTGTATCTCTACCCTCTCTGTAATAATTCTCGTCCTTTGGATCTCAGATTACTCTGAGCTCTGTGTAAAATTAAGGGGCATCAAGAGAGGAGAAAGTGATAATCTAGCTACATAGATAATGTTAACAACAGGCTAAAGGATAATAAGTGTTGGCACAGGCAGCCTTTTAAATAGCTGTCAGCGTTAGCTTGCTAGTTAAACCAGCTAATTAACTCACGTTTGTTTTCATGGCTCAGGAAACAGATAAAATGAAAAACTACCAACCTTGAGTCAGCTGTGGGGGGGCTATTCAGCCGCCCAATAAACCATCTTCTGTTTTATGTTCTTGTCCATTGAACTGGTGAAATGTATCATTTAAACCCCTTAAATGGCCAGCACCCACCGGCAGGCCGAAAGTTTTATTACACAAATCTATAACCTAAGTATAGCTCCAAAAGTTGGCATTGGAATCCCTGTAATTACGGAATAATAAGACTTAATATGTTACAAGTGTGGGATTTTAAGGGGTTAAAGTATCAGCATTTAGATTGGTTGTTTCATGAAACTTGTAGCTGAGTTTCAGGTGAATTGCAGGAAGCTTTACATTATGCAGGTCAAGTGAAATTTAGTTCAAGTAGGTTTTAGGCAGCCAAAGTTGCATGGAAGTTTCACTGTGTAAAGTCAGCCTCACATTCCACTGAGCAAGGGTTGCTTAGAAATGGTGTACATTATAGCTAACTGTTACTAAGTTTCTACTTTAGCACATGCAAAAACTGAAAATGAATACATTAGATAACTTCTGTTGTTGCTCCTGAGTGACCGTTTCGGTCAGCAGCTGTGATGCTAGAGCAGCTAATCTGGAATCAGCCAGAAATGAACAGAACGCAATTCAGCGAACAAAATGGGCTGTGAAAGCATAACAGACTGACTGGAAGAAAACCACATTAAGGATTATCTGACAGGTATTAAAGTTGAACCTGATATTGCAGCAGTTTTATGGATCTATCTGTACAGCAAAAGGGTTCTAGTTTTTTTGGCGGGAGGAAATGTACATTTGATACATTGAGTGCGGTTACATGCACTCAATAATCTGATCATAATTGGATTTCTGCAGTTATCTGATGATCATGTAAATGGATTTCTTAGATCAAAGTAAAGAAATCCAATAAAGAGAGCTGGATTTTAGCTCAGTAATCTCTATGTGCATGTAAACTCTTACTCTGATTTCTTTCAGATTTCTCAGTCTGCGCATGTGTGAAACAGACCGCGGTACCGTAAATAAGCAAGCAGCGTTTGCGTGAGGTGGCAGCAAAACACTTTTGGAGCAATGCTGAAACCGACTATGTGCTTGACAAAATGAAGGATTTAAATCTTCTTCATCTTCTAGATGATGTATGTTCATATTTTTAGGTAAAGTGGCTTGATTTTTCAAAAAAACAGCTGCGGCATGAAGTTTGAGTTTTACATTATGTTTACGTCACGTCTTATTCTGTGAGTTTATTGGCTGTTTGCAAAGCAGAAATCCGATACTGCTCGACTCATGTAGACCTGGAGTTTTCCCATTATCTAATTACTCAAGTGCATGTAAACACGTTGATCGGATTACTGACAAAATCAGATTTTCTGTTTTCTTCAGTTGTCGGATTATTAGTTGCATGCAAACACACTCATTGTTGAGGACGTCTTTGCTTTTCTTTATTGTGTAATTTGCAGAACTACCATAGAACACTTGAGGTCATGTGTTATTGTGAATAACCGAATCATGACCGAATCACAGCCTTGATATTATTAGTGATAACACATGACCCTGAGTGTTCTATTGCTTAACTATATGTGTCTATTGTTGTTTACAGGCTCTCTATAATTAGTCTTTTGTATGATCTTTGCAGTTGTGCGGAGTTCTAGAAGTACTGATACACTCAGAAAAGCATATAGTGGTGTAATTTATCACAATAATCGTAGCATATCATCATGTTGCCCA